CATTGTTAAATTTACTCTATTTAACGTTGTTAGTACATGTTCTATCTTTTATTACTAAATTTGCTCTTATATGCTTTAGTTGAAGTTATTACCTCTCTTATTGTCTTGATACCTCTTTTATTATTGAATTACTCTTATTTGAAGTTGCATTTCGTGGGAATACCTTTATTTTGAGTTATTGAAGTTCGAGTTGGGAAAGCTATTAACACATTGAGTTTGAAGTTGTTGATTATTAAGATATCTTTCCTCGATAAGTATTTCTCACTCATTTTGTTGTTATTAAGATTCTTGTTCACATTGCGATTGAGTCATGGCTATATGTTGTGGTAACATTAGTATTATTGATTAAGGCAAGTGTTGTGGTATATGGGCACATGTGGTGTAAGTTGATTATTGTGTTGTGATATTGATACGCATGCGGTGGTATAAGGATCGGGGTTGATATGTTGCGATGACGTAAGGTGGAATCTATAAGCGTGTTGCTAGTAAGGGAATTACTTGAAACTACACATTGAGATAAGGGGCTAAAACGCGTGTAGCTATTTCGAAAAAATAGTTTTTTCAAATTAAATGCAAGGCTCACGCGGTGATATAAGGAAGATTATGATTGTTACTTGTGAAATGAGATTATGAGGTGTCGTACCTCGGTTGTGATTCTTATTGTACATTCTATGTTTAAAAGGCTTGTTGGTTGGACAATTCTTGTTGTTTCTTCATTTGTCTTATTTGATTACTTATTTTTCTTATCATGTGTTCACTCCTTATTGGCTTAATCGCCTTATATTTCTGTTGTTAGCTTATATTATTGTACTGCTTTATTATCATTCATTTCCTCGCTTTCCATTATTAGACTACACTACACTCTGATGAGTTTTCTTGTCCTAGTAGGTGTCTTGACCTAGCCTCGTCACTACTCTACCGAGGTTAGACTTGATACTTACCGGGTACCGTTGTGGTGTACTCATGCTATGCTTCTGCATACTTTTGTGCAGATCCAGGTATATCTGCTCGTGCCGAACGCCAGTGAACGAACCACATATTCTGGAGACTTCAAGGTATACCTGCTTGATGTCCACATGCCTCGGAGTCACCTTCCATTACTATCTTTCCTACTGTTTATTTCCACATCAAACAAATTTGTATTTGGAGACTTCTAGTGTACATTTTAGAGCTCATGACTCAGATCCATCGGGTTTTAAAAATATTGTAATTGTGATTGAGTATTGAAGTTATTATGAGACTTATCAGCTTTATTTAATATTTTTAGTCGTTATTTCTGTCAAATTCTCTTGTATGTTAGGCTTACCTAGTCTTAGAGACTAGGAGCCATAACAACCACCTCCGATGGAATTTTGGAGTTGTGACAAAAAATGACCGATCGAGTCCTTACATGGATAAAGGTAGAATTTTAGGGACTTGCTATATATGCCTATGTTCCGACGCTATTTATAGATAACTAAAGGGAATTAAATAAAGAGAATATGCAATTTTCCTTATCGATCCCAAATTAAAAGGAAAGTAAAGGTTTTATAATTAGTGTAGATCTTAAACTTGAAAGGAAGTAAACAATTTTACAATTATCATTGAATATTTTTAAACTAAAATGAAAGTAAATATTTTACAATTAATGTAGATTCTAAGCTAAAGGAAAGTAGTTATTATAATATATCTCCAAATATATTTTAATTCATTTATAAAATTATCTTACCCTCATATATACTCCACTCCAGCTCTTAAAACCCTATTGAGTTGGTACAACTACCTCGAGGATCAAATTAACTATCAAATATTTATTTTCCTTATGCCAACACCCCCTTCCATACATTAACCCCCGACCGTTTTTTATATGCATATATAATCTACTATACAAGAATGAACAGTGCCTCCCGCGGAGTAAGACTATGTACAATAAACCCTTATGGTCCGGTTATTCCTCGGAGCTCGCTCATAGCGAGAGCTTAGTGTACCGGGCTGCCCTTTTTCTATACAAGAATGAACAGTATTAACAGAAGCATGGATTTTAGCCATCTTATTCAAGAAAGTAGTACATAAAACTAGCTTCTAACGCCCCGACCGATCGTTTTGCTTTCTAGATCCCTGTTACCCTGAATAAGACTCCTCGTATATACTTTTACTATTTTATGAATTGTGGGGATGGTTAGTTCGGGATTTAGAAGTGTTCGGGTTGAAATCGGAACACTTGGTTCCTTAAGGTTGGCTAAATAGGGCTAAGTTTGACTTGAGTCAACTTTTTGAGTAGACGACCTAGGAATCAAGATTTGATGGTTCCAATATATTCGTATGATAATTTTGGACTTGGGTGTATGTTCGGATCGGGTTTTAGATGACCCGTGAGCGTCTGGCGCTTAATATTAGAAGTTGGCACATTGAAGGTTTTAAAATTCTTTAAATTTAGTTCGAAGTAGGATTTGGTGTTATCGAGGTCCAATTGGGATTACGAGCCTGAAAATAGTTTTGTATGGTGATTTAAGACTTGCACGCAAAATTTGGAGTCATTCCGAGTAGTTTAAGTATGATTCGGCGCATTCGGAGTAAGTTGGAAGAACTTGAAGTTCATAAGATGATTCTATTGGTGTTGGCGTATGATTCTTAGTTTTAATGTTGTTATCTGTGTTACGAGGGTGCGAGCGAATTCGTTTTATGATTTCAAACTTGTTGGTATATTTGGGCGGGGCCTCGGGGCCCCGGATGCCATTCAGACGATGCGCGGAAGTCATTTGGCCTTAGTTGGATAGCTGAAGCACCCAGCTTCTGGTGCAATCGCTCCTGCGGAGGGCCAGCCGCAGGTTCCAGCTCGCAGAAGCGAGCTAGCAGCCGCAGAAGTGGCCCAGCGTAGGCTGCCCAATGATCGCAGAAGCAAGGCAGGGACCGCACCTGCAGAGGTGCAGGTGCGGAGCAGGCGATCGCAGAAGCGAAATGGGGTCACAGGTATGAAGCTTTGTCCGCACCTGCGTGGTTTTGTCCGCAGAAGCGGAACCGCAGGTGCGGCAGTGTCATCGCAGGTGCGAAAAATCGCTAGGCAATAAGGTTCATTTCAATCGGGAGTAAAACCATTTTTGACTCATTTCTTTCACTCATTGGGCGATTTTGGTGCTTTTGGAGAGGGGTTTTCACCTAGCACTTTGAGGTAAGTGATTTCTATACAATATAAGTTTAAAACATAAATTATGGGTAGATTATAACATGAAAAAATTGTGAAAATCATGGGTTTAGATGAAAAACCTAAGTTTTGATTAAAAATGGAATTTAACCACGAAAATGATTATGTAATGGGATGAAAATCATATATTTGAGTTCACAAGGTTATGGGTAACGATTTTCTTCGAAAATTTCTGGAATCCGGGCAAGTAAGCCCGGAGGTAAATTTTAGAAATCTTCCAATTTGGATTTGGTAATTACTCTAATAGTTAAATTATGAACTTTTGAACATGTATTGACTAAATTATTCAACATATGGCTAGTTCCGAGTCGTTTGGCACCGAGTTGAGGCTTTAGAACGAATTTGAGGACCGGAAGTGAGCTTGAGAACGAGATAAGTCTCTTGCCTAACCTTGTAAGGGGGAACTCATCCCCTTAGGTGTATTTTTGTGGCAAATTAATTGGGCAGCTATGTACGCGCTAGGTGACGAGAGTCCGTGCGTAGCTATATTCCATGTGATATTCGGGTAATCTTAGGTGTACATCATGCCTTGTTTGCACTGTTATGTTGGTTACGCTTGTTAATTTTCTTACATAGAACCGAGATTAAGGATTTTTAGATTTAAAATCCCTAGTTTGGATTTCTTATGTTTGGGAAGAATTGAACAAATTTTATAATAACTTTGAGAAAACTATGTTCACTCGCGTTGCAAGTATTTTCGCAAGCGAGGTAAATTCCTCTACTCTCATGGGAGCGGGTTGTTCGCATCGACAAGTTAATAGATGCATCTATGGTTTGTGTCGTTCGACTCTCGGTATTGCACACAGTATATTTCTAGATCTGACCGTACGACCTCGGCATAAATAGTGCGTGATGATACTCGGAGCCTAATTATACTTGATATTAATTCTTGGCTTGAGCGGTTATAACTATTTAAATGATAGGAATTGACTTGAAATTTATTATTAGTGAAGAAATTATTATTCACTACTTGTTACTGAGTTGTATTAATTATTTACATGATCCATGCTTATTTATAATTCCTACATTTTATTGTTAGCCCATAGTAAGTGTAGATGCCGACCCCTCATCACTACTTATTCGAGATTAGACTAGATACTTACTGGGTACATATTGGCTATGTACTCATGCTACACTTCTGCACTAACTGTGCAGGTTCTGAGGCAGGTGCATCTGGTGGTTATCCTGGCGCGCACTCCTGATACTCTGAGACTTAGCGGTGAGCTGTTTCCCGAGCCCGTTCTGCAGCACCCGAAGTCTTTCTATGTGTTTTGTTTTCTGTCTACTTTATTTCAGACAGTAGCTTAGTGTTTTGTATATTCTACTAGTAGCTCATACACTTGTGATACCAGGTCTTGAAATTTCGCTAGTAAACACTTGATGATTTTAAATATTTACTTCACCACATTTGCTCTTATAATTGTTTACATTTTATTTTACTAAGTTTCTCACCTCTTACTTATTTAATAATTAAAAATCAACTATTGCTAAATGGTTAAAAGAATAAACACATGGTTAGTACACCGTTGGCTTGCCTAGCGGCGACGTTGGGCGTCATCACGACCTATAGGAAAATTGGGTCGTGACACAGCTCAACCCAGAGAGATTAATCTTTCCCTCACACGGCCAAAGAATAAATCAAATTTACCCTGATTCATATTTATTCCTACCTGATCAATTAATCAACATAAAATATTCAAATATACTGAAAGTACACGTATGAACAAGCAAGTGGTCAGCATATACATGTAAATGAAACCTGATTGGCAAAGACAATTCTCCATGATTCAAACTCCCCAAATTGCATGAGACTTAGTATTCAGAAATCCATGAGAGTAAGAGATAATGCGCAGAACAAATTGGTAGAATTTTGCGTGAACAAAGGAAAGTCAGCCAAGTACGGATTAGATAATTTATAAATTGGAGAACTTGATGAGGATGATTTATTCTTATCAATTTCAACTGAAAATGACTCATCATTCTCATTTTCCGATCTTGAATGACCCGTGAGTTTCTGCACCAGAGCCATGAAATCCCGAGCCTCCGTGTGAATAATCTTGGGCGATTCAGTGTATATTATCACCGGACCATTTTGTTTCTTTAGCGGCCGAGCCATGACTTGAACTGTTGAAGAATTCGAAGGTTTCCGTATGGCATGCGATTCCTTTATCTTCAATGGACAAGGACGTGGACCATTTATTATCCTCCTAGTTCCATCAAACTTTTCCTGGTTCATGGTTTTACCACTTCACTAGATTTATAATTAATCTACAGAAACAAGCTAAAGAAAAGGAAAAGGATAGTTTGATTAAATTGGTGACGGAGAGAAGGATTACATATAGATAGAGATTTTTTAGGTGAGACTTTTTGCTAGTATAATGGATGAAAGTGAAACTAGTAATTTTAAATTATTTTAGCCAGCTATTTTGACCGTTGACAATATTGCTTAGGTGGGAAAAGCGTGTTGTTTACCAAGGGTAATGAATTGACGGAAAGCAGTTGAAGTTCCAATTATTTTACTCCCTTAATTCCAATTTATGTAAACCTGTTTGACTAGGCACGGAGTTTAAGAAAAAATAAAGACTTTTAAAATTTATGGTCCTAAACAAGTCAAAAAGGGGTCCAGAGTATTTGTGTGGTTATAAAAGTTTCTCATTAAGGGTAGAATTGGAAGTTTAAGCTAAATTGTTTTCAAATTTAGAAAGGGGTCATTCTTTTTGGAACGGACCAAAAAGTAAATAGGTTCACATAAACTAAAACGGAGGGAATATATAATTATACGTTGGGAAATTCGGTCTAATTAGGGCCTGTCCGGGTTCGGCTTAACGGGTCCGAACCGGGCCGGGTTACTTATTTTTATTTTTATTTTTAGTATATTTTATATTTCTTATTCAATGTTATTGATACTTAAGTGTTTGCAAACTTTTAAGGCTTAGAATTAAACTTTAAACTTTAAATTTTAAAGTTTAAAATTTAAAATTTGAATTTTAAAATTTTATAATTGAAATTTGAAAGTAAGTGGCTACAAGGCTTTCGTTTTATATTTTCATTGAATAATAAATAATACTTCAAATTAATTAACAAGTTCTATTTTGATTTTTTATTTTTGAACTTGCAAATTAATAGTTTACAACAATTATAAAAAATAAGAAAGAGTACATCACATGCTTTGCATCATTTAAGTACATCCATGTCAATATGAGGTTTTTGATTTCCGGCATTGATTGAATCGGAACCATAAACCATTATATCTCCAATTTCTTGGTCCTTTGTTTCATCTACCTCTTCATGCCCTTGATTTCGCCGTTCTAATCTTATCCAATATCTGAAACACACTAGAATTTTCAAAGTGTTGCTGCCCAATGAATGACGGGCATCTCCTAGTTGCTGCCTTGCTTTGCTAAATATGCTCTCTGATGCGACTGTTGAAATCGGCACATTTAGCACGTCTCGAGCCTTGGCCGAAAGAACAGAAAATTGATTTGAGTTGCTCCTCCACCAACCCAATGGTAGAAATTCCTTTGTGCGGGTCTCTGGTGACTTTTGCAAGTAGAATTGGAGTTCATCAATATTCCTGCTACTGGTTTGTTGATGCTCTCCTAGTATAGACCAAATCAACTAATCTTCAACACCACCATTATCCTCCAAAGCACCGGTCCAAGATGTTGAAACTGAACTTGAAGGAATATTTGCATCTACAGCAGACGAAGCATCACCAATCTTAGCATAATAATTATATAAAATTTATAAATGTTTGTGTAGATCAGAAATACAAGTTTCAATATCGGGGGTTCCAGTTGGCCCAATATCCATATAAACATATAAAGAAGTGATTAATTGACGACAAGTGGCCATTTTTATAGAAGGGTTTAAAATAGCACCAATTAGGTAAATAGGGGGAATTGGGTAGAAATATTTCTTAAATTTATCTAGCATAGATTCAACAACAAAAGTATATCCTTCTTTCTTCTTCAAATTATGGAGTAAAAGAGAAATTTCAGCAATATGAACTACACCATTTGCAATAGTAGGATAATAAGCTCGAGAAAACTCAAGTATAGCCACATAAATATTTCGTAAAAGTTTTACAACATCTTCAATGACATCCCAAACTCTTGATGTTAACAAACGGTTAGGATCGATACAATGAGAATTAGCAACTTCAGTTATAGGCATTATATAATTATAACAACATCTTAAGAATAAATAAGTATAATTCTACCTAGTAACTATCACTACAAAAAAAATAGTACTTAGCGACGGACGTATTCCGTCGCTACAGTTGTTTAGCGACGGAGTCAAGTTTGTCTCTAAAATGCTTGTAGCTAGGCTCAAAGCGACGAAAAATACCAAACTGTCAAAGGATTAGCGACAGAATATATCTGTAGCACAGTTTAGCGATGGAAATAACCGCCGCTATATTGCTTGTTTATGTCGCTATTTTGACGAATTTTGTCGCTACAATACATAACAAAATTCGTCGTTTGTTCTTACTAGCGACGAAAGCGTCCGTCGCTAGTCGTGTTATTGCTAATTCTCCCTGCTTTTTGCAACACAAACCTTTTGTCGCCAATTAGTCGCAAGAAAGTATCCGTCGCTAATTTATTTTTAATCTATTGCTAATTTTTTAAAATTAATTTTATTTATTATTTTAAATGTACTATGTTCAAGCATATTACATAAAAGTTATTAAATACACTTAATAAAAATTCACTGATATTAATATAAATTAACAATATATTCAACAAGGTCCAAAATATATAGCATAATGCATATAACGGTATCGTTAAGTACAAAAACTCCACAAGGACCAGCAATAAAGTCCAAAGAAAATAGGCTAACTATGCGAGGCTGGAGAGTTACGGTTATCATCAGAACACAATGTATGAACCTCATCAATGTTAGCAGCAGTAGAAGATGTAGTAACTGTAGGTGCCATATCTAATGGGTGGTTGGTAAGATCAGTATTTGGCTGATGCAAGGGTAAGGAAACTAATTCGCGTACCTGCTCTACGATTACATGAACTATATGATCTGTCAGTGCAAGAATCAATCGCATCACTAACTCATCCAGATTCCCTATCGGTGTTGATTGGGCATTTGGAGGTATTGCTAACGATGTAGTATCATATCCAAAAGAGTCACAAAGATTTGTCCTGTAGTAGCATTTTGCTTGAGATCTAAGGTCATATACTCTTCTTTTCTTTTCTTTTCTCCTCCCGCGGCTTGATAATATGCTTTACACTGATCAATATCAAATTGAGTCTGTGTTTGTTGTTGTAATATCTCTTGATATTTTTCCCGTAGAAGAGTTACTAATTAGTAAAATAGAAAGACTAAAGAATATTGAGCATTCAATTTATAAAATGAAAAAATATGTAACGACCCGGCCGATCGTTTCGGGAGTTGTAGCCCCGTTCTCCCATTTACTGCTCAATTTGTGCTTTATAGATGTTATATGACTTATCGGGTTAGTTGGTTCGGGTCCGGAGAGATTTCAGAATGAATTGAGACACTTAGTCGCATAATGGAAAGCTTAAGTTGGAAAAGTTAACCGAATATTGACTTATGTGTAAACGACCTCAAATTTGAATTTTGATGGTTCCGTTAGCTCCGTTAGGTGATTTTGGACTTAGAAACACGTCCGGATTGTGATTTGGAGGTTCGTAGTAGAATTAGATTTGAAATGGCAAAAATTGAAATTTTGAAAAGTTTGACCGGGAGTGGACTTTTTGATATTGGAGTCGGATTGGATAGCTGGAGTAGGTTCGTGATGTCATTTGTGACTTGTATGCAAAATTTGAGGTCAATCGGACGTGGTTTGATAGGTTTCAGCGTCGATAGTAGAATTTAGAAAATTCAAAGTTCATTAGGCTTGGATTGGGGTGCGATTCCTGTTTTTGATGCTGTTCGAGGTGATTTGAAGGCTCGACTAAATTTGTATCGTGTTTTAGGATGTGTTGGTATGTTTGGTTGAGGTCCCGGGGGCCTCGGGTTGATTTCGGGTGGTTAACGGACTTGGAATTTGATTTGAGAAGTTGTTGAAGCCTGTGTGCTACTGGTGTAATCGCACCTGCAGAGTGGGAACCGCAGATGCGAGCCTGCATATGCGGGTAAAGGTCCGCAGATACGGATATGGAGGATAGAAGGCAGAGGGACACAGGTACGAAGGTTTTCCCGCACCTGCGAGACCGCAGCTGCGGGGTGAAGGCCGCAGAAGCGAAGGAAGGAAGGGGAGCTAGGCTCCGCAGAAGCAGAGGATATCACGCAGGGGCATGTCCGTAGGAGCGGATGAGGGAGCTGCAGAGGTGGAGAATGTGATGACCCAAAATGTCATCTTTAAATTTAATAATTAATTCTATGTTCTAAGACCTCGAAAAGCACTATTTATCATTACTCGACTTGCGTGTGCAGTCCGTAAAAATTTTTCGGAAAGTTTTTAGGTGAAAAATGAATT